AAATTAAGCTTCTCAGGTCTAGGAAGATATATATGCTCTGACCTACCTCACTCTGCCTACTATAACTGAAAACAGAAGAAGGTCAAGAGTAAAAGAAAGATCAGTTAGAAGGCTCTTGCAATTATCTAGATAAGGGATGCTGGCTTCAAGACCAAAGTGGTGGTGGTGGAGACGATGACAATGATTCCAGGTATGTTCAGAAGGTACAATCACTATGATTTTCTGAAAGAGAAGCTACATGAGAAAATAAATAGTAGCTGGGAGAACACAGTTCCGGTCAGATGAGCTAGAAAATACTATGGAAAAAGGGAATTCTAGGGGGAAGATAGGGATATGTATTCTCCCTTGGGACATGTTAGTGAAGTCTAGTAGGCAGCTAGGTAAGTGACTGGATAAAATAGCCAACAGAATAATGTGGAAAGAAAGGGAGAGGGAGAGGGAGGAGGAAGGGAAGAACAAGAAGGGGAGGGGCAGGGGAAGGAGGAGAAAGAATGAAAGAGGCCAACTGGGGAAAGAAAAAGAGAAGAGGTCAAGGTCGGGGGCACTCTAACAGAGGTCAGGGAGGTGAAGAAGAATCACCAAAGGAAGTGAAAAAGGCAGCCAGTGAAGCAATAAGAACACTAGGGAAGTGAAATCCTGGAAGTGAAGTTAATTAAGAAAATTAAGAAAAGGACTGAGAACTAGCCATCTTGACCAGAGCAGTCCTTGCTGAACAGTGGAGAGAGAAAACTAATTGAAATGGTTTTTAAAGAGAAGAATCAAATACAGATTTTTTTTTTTTTTTTAAACTCATTTCGTGTTTGCCCTGAGAATACTTGCTGGTGGTGGTGCTTGCAGCTGCAGTGTTTACCGTGAGATAACTCATGGATGACAGTCCTAACCTTAACCCCAAAGTCTGCCATGAAATATCTCGCTTTTATTACTATATTCGCATCGCTCTAGTATATTGATAGTCTTTGGAAACAAATGACATCATTCTATTTATAGCATTCTGTTTTTAGTAGTTCGATCACTGAAAATGTCAAATCCTAGAAGATGTAGCATTCCTATGAGTGAAGTTAAATGAACGCAAGCAAAGAGCTGCATTTTCTTTTCCCTAAACCAGAAAAGGGTTAAAGAATAAATGGATCCAAAAGTGAAACACTATTGCATATCACATATGCTTTGTGATTAATCATTAACTTATAGTTCTTACTAAAACTCATTATCAGTAGAAATGAACATGGTCTTAGAAGCTAAAAGTCTGAATGCAAATTCTCATTTATTTTTAGACCAAAATTAGTGCATTTTCCAAAAGAAAAAAATAGGAAAAAAAATAAAAAAACCAATGTTGCTTTGTCTCCTAGCTGTAATAGTATTTTCAAGTTATTTTTGCTTGGTGCCTTAGGCACTAGTTACCACATTTAAATACTAAATTTTATAACTTCACACATTTAAGATTAAAAAAAGTATTAGGTAAGGATGATTTTTAGCCATTGTTATAAATATTATTTGGCATCTTCTAAACTCTATAGAAGTTTCTGGTTCTGTAGTTGGAGAAAAAAACATTAAGTGTAAAAGCCTTTCCAAAGCCAAATATCAATTCAAAGTTTTGAGCCCCAATTCCTATTTCTATACCACACTTAATATATATATCATGAAATGTAAATCTCTAGACACTGAGCACATCAAGTGAACATCAAAATGTACCAGCAGACACCTTAAGCTTTAAAATGTAAAACAGATGATGAAAAATAAAGCACTGATATCATGGCTCTCTTTGGAAAAAGAAAAAAACAATGAGACTAATGGTATGTTGTATTGTATTAACTGTTATTTCCTTTCAGATTAACTGCTACAGAAGCAGTGACTGAAGTGGAAGTATAAGCAAGATGAATATTAACGGCCTTCGTGTAAATAATTTATCAATTATTTAATGCTATTCAGTTTGGTTAAGCCTATTATAAGTGATAAAATAATTCAAGCGACTTCATGGACCATTTATTTGAAAGTTAGGTTTTCTCTTCTTTCACTTTACAAGTATTTTTTGTACCTTCTCCACATATTCATGTGCTAAGGCACAAGGGAAAACTATGAATTTGGAAGAAATATCAGACTTTGGAACAATGTAAATATAAACACAGAAAAAGCCAAACTGAAAGAATGAAGAATACAGTAAAGGAAAGAAATCCATATGGGGCTTTTATCATCTCTAATGCAAAATCACTCAGTAACTAAAGAAAAACTTTGTGTTCAATTTACTCAACAGAAACATCCAGATAATAACTTACTCGACTGCTGAAATATTTATTTGCTAATTCCATAAGGTATGGGAATTAAAGCTGTCTTATAAATATAAAAGAACTACATGCCTTCATCAATGAAATAGTCCATATAATTCATAGCAAGCAACAAACAAAAAATGAAAATGCTAAAGTATTAGATTCAGGCACATCTACTGTTTGATCTTTCTACTAACTACATAACCTTAAACAAGTTACTAAATTTTGTCAGGCCTCAGTTTCCAAATCTGTAAAATAGTGGGTTAAATAGATTTAGTCTATTTCTAAACATGTGACTCTATAATTTACATTAAAAAGTAAAACATAATTTTTAATTATCTTAAATTTTAAATATTAAGTATGTAAATAAAAAGGTAAATGTTAATCTGGAAAGGTAAACCATGATTTGATTATGCTTATTCAATGCATATTGAATCTTAAAGAAAAAGTTTACTTTTATTGCTATATTTCAATTTAGTGAATGGGACTTCTAAATAGAAGTTCAGGTTTGTCTGATATACACATGATTGCTTATCCCAAAATGTGAGGTTTGGGAAAGTGTTTTGATATTGTGGTAAAAGAGTGATGACCACATGCTCCTAGGACCTAAAGTCATCATGTTGCTTTGAGAAATGATTCAGACTAGGATTTTCCCAAAACCCAATTTACAATCAATTAATCAATAAATCAATCAATAAAGCACAGACGATTATGGTTTTAAATCTACTAAGGTTCAAGACATATACATGCATTCAAGGTCACAGACACTCATCAAACAAGCCTGTGTTTTTTAAATTAGTCTACTTTTGATTAGGAGTGGAGAGCTGAGTTTCAAGGAAATCAACCTATGCTTTCATCCACATTTTCTATCTTATTTCAATATTAAAATTCTTCATATTCTAATATTTCATCAAACACAATACAGGATAAAAAAAAAACAGGCCCATATAATCACATCAGCCTTGCTATTACATTAAAATTCAGCTGTTTTCTACAAATATGTCTCCAAATCAATTCTGATGATTAAACCTAATTCTACTTGTTATCCTAATTTCTGCTTTCCCCATTATTCTAGTCAAATGAATATCCTTTAAATAAATGCAGTCTTTTAATTTCTAACTGTTTTTCCTCTTATGAGGTCTTTCCTCTTTTATGAAAGAAATATTTATTTTCCATCTGCCAAGCATTCTTTCTCTTCTGTTTCAAAGAATTATTTGAAGAAATTTTCTCATGTACTATGAAGCTTCATCTGTCTCAGGAGCATTTTACTGAAGAAAACAAGCAATATGAAATGAAATTTCCTTTAGATTATTAAAATACATATGAGTTTTAATAGAGATTTTTTCTAACCCATGAGTCAAGTAAAAGCATATGCAAGTATATTAAATGGACTGAGAATTATATATTTTTCTCCGTCTGAATTATTCATGTTTGTATTTCTGTATTACACTGAGATAATCTATAGCCGAAATGATTTTGCAGCACATTAATTTGCTTTCTATCTATTTCATACTCTTCTGCTATGCAGAGATTATATATTTAATATTTTATCTAAGGCAAAAACTCTCTCTGGTGTTTTATATAATTTGTGCATTCATGGAGAGGGGGATAGTTAGATGACTTTGCTTAATATGCCATCTTGAGCTAACTGCAATGATCTCAATGATAATGACCTCAATAACAACAAGAGTCATAAATAGGTTTGATTCATACACAGTATTGATTTTAAACTTAGATATTACAAACATCACTTTGAGAACAATTTCCAAACTACTTTAAATGATGATTAATACTTACCAGGAAAAGCATCAAAAGTAATTCTGTCTCCAGGAACAGACCCATTAGGAGGTGCCAAGATTTCAACTTTCTCTGGTGAACTAGCACACATCAGCATTGCTTGAGATAGTACTCCCCTCATCTTTGCAGGTTTTAGGTTACAAAGTAAAATCACCATCCGATTTTGCATCTGTGTGAACCACAAATCAATGATTAAGATGTACAGAATTTGGAATAATAATGCCTAGAATACATTAAGGTACACGTAATACGCTAAATATCACATGTTCTATTTTTGTGGATGTATCTTGGTATTATTGTTATCTTTTGTTGTTGTTATAAAGCCTATATGAACAAGAAAAAAAAATCTACAACCTGACAATGAATTATAGTTTGAAGACCAGAGGCAAGGCTTTTAAGATATTTAAAAAAATGATAGAGTTAAAAAGAACCTCTGGGACAGCAGTGAACATACTAACATTCTCATTATAGGGATCCCAGAAAGAGAAGAGAGAAATAAAAGAGCAGAAAGCTTATCTGAAGAAATAATGGCTGAAAACTTTCCTAATCTGGGGAAGGAAAAGATATCCATGTCCAGGAAGCACAGTTTCAAATAAGATGAATTCAAAGAAACTCACACCAAAACATACTATAATTATAATGGTAAAAGTTAAAAATAAAGAGAGAATCTTGAAGGCAGCAAGAGGGACTATTCACATATAAGATGAAGCAGAATAAAAGGTTCAAATTTCCAGGTATAAAACAAATCATGGGGATGTAATATATAGTATAGGGAATATAATCAATAACACTGTGATAGCATTGTACAGTGTCAGGTGGTTGCTGGACTTATGGTGACTGCTTCTTTAGGTATATAAATTTAACTAGCTTAAGATCAGTTGGTTCTTTTTTGTCAAGGCTCCTTATGAACCTACCTTCATAAGCAGTTATGAGTAAGTCCTGGTCCTATACAAGATGAATGTTAAAAAAGGAAACAAAAAACACATACATGTGCCAAATCTACATATTTTTTTCATAGTTAAGAGAAATATCATTGATCCTCTTAATTCCATCTTTCTTCCCACCACAGAGCAGCCAGGTGATCCCAATAATAAGAGGCAGACTATGGTACTCCTTAGATCAAAAATCCTCTAATACTTTTCATCTCACTCAGAATAAAAGCCAATGTCTTTACAATGATCTATAAGACCCTATGTTATTTAGTAACTATCTGAATTTATTTCATATGACATTCTCCCTTACTTACTGTTCTATAATGACATTGCCTCCGGCTATTCTGTGAACATCTCAGGCACACATCTGATTTAGCTGCCTGAAATGGTCTTCCACCAGACAGACATATGACTTGTTTTCTTCATTTTCTTAGACTTTTACTTAAATATCACTGTATGAGGCCTTCCCAGACTACTTTATATAAAATGATATTATCATCTTAGCTTCGATACTTCCTAGATTCTTCCCTAATTTTTTTCTTGATACTTATCACGATTTAACATACTATATACTAAGATTTTCTGACTACCTCATAGGAATGTAAGCTTCACAAAAAGCAGGGCTTTTTTTTTTTTTAAACAAATGTATCATCTTAATTCAACTGTCTAGAATAGTTCCTGGTATACCACAGGTAGTCAATAAATATTTGTATCTAGAAATATGAATAAATAAATGTAGAGATTTGTCCAAGTTCACAAAGCCAATAAACAACAGAGCTGGCAATCAATAGAAGCAGTTCTTAATGTTGACGTCTACTGTCTGCAATATCTGAAGTATCAAGGGGCAGAAGAAATATAGGTAGGTGATTCAAATTACTATAGAAGACATCTTGAAAGAACAAATTAAAAGCTATTACTGTCATTAATTCTTTCCATTGTCATTAGAAATATATATATATTTCTTACATACATATGTTCATATATACCTATTTTTACATTTTTAAATATTTAAGTAATAACAAAGTACAAAACATCTGATTTTGAACTAAAAGAATACCATTAAAAATTGCAATTTAATCCCATGACTCCCTCTTTTCTTTTTTCTTAAAGTATAAAAATATTTCTGTAGTTACAAAGAAATAAAACTTGTTCTCTTACTTTTAGATTGATACGATCTGGGTGTATATTACACTGACTTTAAAAAATCAAGGAATAATAAACCCCATGATGGAACAATGATGATAAATATATATATTTTATATTAAATACTAAACTAAAAACATTTTTAATTGAGAAAAAAATAATACATCTTATCTTCTTTTATCCCCATGAATCCAATCCTAATATATAAATCTTTTGCAAGGTTTTGGTAGTTTTATGCACTTTTTTGGGGGGATTCATCACATTCAAACTAATCAAATGAACTAATCAATAATGACTCATGTTTGGTCATCTGATACAAAATTATATGGAAAAACATCAAAGAAAAAGGAAATAAGAGTGACATGTATTTGTGGAAGTAATTTTAGTTGCACAAATTACCTGTTCAAGAGGAACATGGTTTACCAGGCCACTGACAACTGTTCTTGGGGCTGCTTCTCCAACATCTATTTCTTCTACATACAAAGAATCTGCATCAGGATGTTTTTTGGCAGTGATGATACAACCAATGCGAAGATCCAGACGGGAAACATCTATTGGCTTAGAGTCAGCACCTCCTGCTACTGATTGAGGTTTCTTCTCCTTTTTCTCTCCTAAAAATATTTATGAATGGGTAAATATCAAAAGTAAATAAAAAAATACACTATGAAAAACTCCATAGCATCAATATTGATGAGCTTAAAAGAAAAAAAAGTGATTTCCTATTTTCATTTAAGTAACAGGAATTATGCAAGTCACAGAATGTTGATTCCTATTTTAGCTATTTCTCTGTTAAATAACGGCTTATATCTCTAAGGACATAGAGTACAGGTTGGTAAACTATGGCACATGGACCAAATCCAGCACATACTGTTTCTGTCAAAGTTTTATTTACAACATAACCATGTTTGTTCATTTACATATTGTCAATGGATACTTTTGCACTACAGTAGAGTTGAATAGTTGTGACAGGCCTTTATGGCCCGTAAAGCTTAACTATTTACCAAATGGTCTTTCTCAAAGAGAGTCTGCTTTTCTTTAAAACAGAGCTATAGAAAATCCTTTAAAAATTTTACTGTGATTCTTTAGAAAGTGAAAAATTCTGTATTTAGAATGAACACCACAATCCATAGTCAACTGATGAAATGAACTACGATCAAATATAATTTTACTGATAAAATGTTTCTCTCATCAGTTAAACACAGCAATAAGTATACTATGAATTTCTCCATTTCTTTTATTTCCCTGAAAACTTATTAGGGCTTTAGCAACTGTTTGAGCAGAAGAGAATATTTTATTCTGTTGTAATTTTAAAATTCTACTTTTATTTATGTGCTCATCTAACTCTTATTAGCATATGATTACTTTAGTCACTGAATCAAAATGTAACCTGTAAAGAGTTTATGTTTAGCTTCTCTGGCAGAAAAAAGATGTAAAACAAAATAAAAACTTACCTTTGAATCCTCAGGGTAGAGATAAGCTATTGTGGCCTGGAAGCATTTTCTCTGAACTATATCTTTGTCTAATCTTTGAACAAATATTTACTGAGATCTAACGCACTAAAATATTAAGATGAGTGGCCCATGCTATCAAGGCACTGAAAATCACTTTTAAAGAAGACAGATGTATTAATCAATATGTGATAAACAATACATATACAAAGAAATACAGAAGCAGAGAATAATTCTGGTGTAGGAAAAGATGATTTTGTGTAAATGACATTCACAGTTTATACCAAAACAGTTTACAAAAGAGGAGATAAAGCTAATTCAAAATAATGGACAATTTTTAATCTTATTAGAAATTACTAAAAATATCATTTTCTATGTAACATATTAGCAAAGTTTTTTAATGGTAAAAACCCAAATGTTAAACAAAATATATATACAAAATTATGAGAACATATAACAAAAATTTTAATAGTAGTTATCTTTGGGTAATAAACTATGTATTTACTTTGAAACACTGCAGTATAACAGTATATCTATATCCACATATATTTTTTAACTTTAATCTATCTGCTAAGCATTTGTAATCCCTTTGTCAGGAATGCACATTCTAGAGGTCATCACAAATATTAAAATCTATACCAAGAAATTTGTTAGTCATCAAAAGGGCTTTTAGAAATATTTCCTTGACAAATGAGTGATGCTTACATGTGGCAGTCTTGAAAGATTATATGGGCACCATAGCCCTTGCATGAGCAGAATTTTGAAATCTGGCAATCCTAGCAGCAAAACACTTATGGAATAATCCTCTTATTCCAGCGTTGTTCAATGTTGTAGCTACCAACTACATGTAGGTATTTACATTTAAATTTAAAAGATTAAAAATTCAGTCCTTTAGTCACAGAAGACTCATTTCAAATGTTTAAGAGCTAGATGTGGCTATTGGATACTGTGTTGGATAATGTAGCTTTACAGCATTTCCATCATCACAGAAAATTCCTTTGGACAGAGGTGTTCCATTTGGTCTTGTGTGCTTTCTCCTCCCACAAAGGAGGACTCTGCTGTCTCATTTGACTAGAAGGTTGACTAATCCTATAGTTACAATAACTTATCTTCTTTGAGTACAGACTTCGCCAAACTTAGAACAGGCTGCATAATTGTTAATAAATTTTACAAAGTGCTAGAATTAGTCTCACTTATTTCATTGGCACCATACCGCCTAGTGATGAAGTTAGCTAGAGAGATGTATGGCCCCTATCTACTTCTAACTAATAGAAGCTACAAATGTTTACCAAAAGGAACTGACAAGTGTTAGATGCTGAATTAGCTTGGATTAGAGTTCGTAAATCCCTCAGCCATTTTATATTTTCCAAAAAATTTTTAGATAAATATAAATCTTATGAAAGGTATGGATAATGAATTAGAAAATCATTTTTTTTAGCTAAATCTGGGAAAATGAATTCTAGAAAGGAGTAAAGTAGAAGAGGTTAAAAAAGAGAATCAAATTTATGATTAGAAAAATAGTTTTAGTAGTAAGGATAAGCTAGAAAAGATGAGAGTTTAACATTAATTCAGGTAAATGATCATGAGAACCTGAACTAAGGTAGCACCTAACAAAATGGAGGCACATAGCTGGGTTCTAGATATGTTTCAGTGATAGGAATTTAGGTTTTGGTCAATTATATATGAAAATAAAGGGAATGGGACAGGTTATTGTTGACTCTAAGCTTTCTAGTCTGGTTGCCTAAGTAGATGATGATATACTTTCTACCTCAGTTCTTATGTGTTCCTAAAACCTTACCATCCCCATGCCTTAGTTTAGACATTCTGCTTTAACCAAATATCCTTTTCCTATCTTTGCAACTGGCCATAAGCTAACTTTTTATCTGTGACTTCTCTAAAATTATCCCCCGAATAGACACTAAAATTTAGTTATATCAAACTATATACAGGCCTCTACATTTAATCTCTACTTTCTATGCTGGTCCTTCTACCTCAAATGTCACATAACTGTTGACCCGGTCAACCTTCAGTATCCTTAAGGGCCCAGCTTCTACGCTCCAATACCATGTTGTTCTTAATTTTATTCTAGTTTGTAAAAGTTTAAACTTTCTTTTTGACATCACTATTATTATCAAAACTGCTGAGATCTGATAAACCACTTGAGAGCCAAATAACCTTAAGATAAAATACCTTTCTTTTCAATTTTCTCTTTCACCTTCTTTGCTTCTTCTCCTCCTCCTTTTATCTGTTCTTTGGTACCAGAAGACATGGTTGTTAATAGTACGGACTGCATCACATTTTCAGAAACCGTGGAATTAGCTTGCAGTAGAGTACTAGGTGGACATGGTATTTGTTTCACTGATGCAGAAAATGAAATAGATGTCATTTACATTAAACAACACACAAGATGGAAAACATGAAATTGTGAATCACAAATACGAACTCTCTTTAAAAGATAAATTCACTGTATATAATTATCAAGTCTCTACTACCTAAAATTGTAAAAAGTCTGCCAAGAAATTAAGTTTATTTTTAACTATGAATTTATTTTAAGTTTATTTTAATCATTTAATCACTAATGACTAATCAGAGAAAATTACAGATAACAGCTAATATTTATTATGGACTCAGACACTTTTCAAAATGCTTTATATGAATCTACTCATGTAATTCTCATTAATATCCTAAGCAGTAAGTTCTATTCAAATCCCCATTTATAAATGATCAACCTGAACCAAACAGAAGTTAAGAAGTTAAACTGGCCCACAACACACATAAGGAGTGGGGAAATAAAAATTCATACTCAGGCAGTCTGTCTCCAGAGACTATACTTCCATGGTCTGGCAAGATGGCATGTTTTTCACCTGTTTTCTTTTATGCTGAACAATCAACTAGGAAGGTGTCTATTAATAGTCATTTCTATATCAGAATTAATGGAAAGACAGCATTACTTGCCTATAATTCTATTTCAAAAAAATCAACTTTTTAAAGAAGCAAAAATTCCTTCAGCTATGTTAAAAACATTCTTACAGCCTTGTGAACATGGAAAAATGTAATCTTGTCAGGAATTTTGATGTGGCTTAAATTCTGGCCAATATTCAGACCACTTTTCTGGGGTATTTTTAAATTTCTTTGGAGGCTGTTTTTTTTTTTAGTAATGTAAAACTCCATCTATTTCTATTTTGTTTCACGATTAGACAGAATACTTTAATTCAAACTCTTGATTTGTTTTAGCATCGCAATAAGATTAGAGTTGAAAAGTTTAATATTTCAGGGTAATCTTATAGAACTGGGAGAAATGAAAAGCATTTTAATGCTGCTAATATTTTAAATGTTTATTTAGTTCTATACCTGTAATTCTAAATCCCCTAGTCTTGGAAAACATCAATTAGCCACAAATTTTCCATTGACAAGTGATATTTTCTCTAGTTGACAGTTATAAGCATATATATTGATTTTTCCTTACTTTTATTTAGCTAGGGCAGAGTTCAACCTACAGCATTCAAAACAATTCACTGATAGAATAATGGCCAAAGGAAGTAGTAAGTTTACCTGGGCCTCCCTAACTCATCTAGGAAGGATTTTCTACAATACAGTCAAATGCCTTTCTGCATGATATTTTGAAATTGTAATAGAACTATTATTATTAATGTCTTAAAATAATGTAAAATTATCTGGATGCTTTCAAATTAAAAAAAATTTAATCTACAACATAATACTTAAAATGATAATTATCTGCTGACTTGGATAATTGAAAAATTGTACAATTTCATGCGAATTACTTTAAATCTCTTAAGCTTCAAATTTATCATGTACAAAACAAGAGTATTTGAGTATATATAGTTTTAGAGAAAATATATAATGTGTGTAAAGGACTTGGGACACAGGGTCTGTCATATAGTAACACTTAATAAAGGTTAACTAAATATTATTAGAGTTTTTTTCAATAACTATTCAATAGGGAACAGAGATGATAAAGTTAAATTACTGTGCAGAAATTAAAAGCATAGGTTTTTGAACTCTAGTTTTGCCACTTTTTACATAACCTCAGGCAAGATCATCTGCCTTTTTTATGACTCCATTTTCTCCTCTATAAAGGAGGAAGAAAGCACAGCAGGGCTACTGTGAGGGTAAGATGAGAAATCAAGCATAATACCTAACTTAATAAACATTAAATGATATATAATTATTAATGATAATGTATCATTTCTACATTTAATCACCTCCATTTTTAATTTCTGCCTGAATTAGTTCTTGCTTCAATTCTTCAATTTCTTTCTTCAACTTAGCATTTTCAACTCGAAGTTTCTTCTCTTCTCTCAAAGTTGCCTGCAAAACTAGAAGAAAATCCAGTTAAGTATAGCTGTGTCTTCTAAAAGGTTTGTTATGAATGCTACCTGAAAAGAGAGCATATCTAATATAAACGTAGCTAGAATACTAATAAGCAAATGTTTGGCCAGTTCCTTTACATCAGAGTTTAATATTTATTAAAATAATATGATTTTTAAGAGAGAGAATATATCTATGAAATAATAGTGGAACATAAAAGATTTTATTTATAAATCATTTTCCTAGCTTCTGTAAAGATGATTATGACAACATAAGAATGTGGTTTGAAGTGTCAATAACATAAAACTGTGAGAGAGACAGATATTAGATTAAATTATTTATTTTTTTAAAAAAGTCTTGAGATCTAATAATGATACCAAACAAATAACTATTCTCATTTTTTTTTTAGTCATTACCATGTAAAAGTAACATTCATAATGTTAGAAGTTAAGCTGGTCAAACATTCAATGAGTGAAATAATGTCAAAAATTTACTCAAGATATGTGTGTTAAAGGTAAGCAACAGGGATACAAAAATGTAAAAGAAAAACAATGATTCTCAGTCTGCTTGGTACTGCTCCCTAGGTGGGATTTTGAAAATCTAAGGGAGTATATTTGTCACAAATAATAGAAGTCATTACTGGCATTTAATGGGCAGGGGGCAAGGATGCTAGATGTCCTCTAATATGCTAGCTATTTCTATAAAATGAAGAACTGTTTCCCACCCTAAAAAATGTTCCAGTGACCTATTGTATATTTGTACAGGTTAAAATACTATTAATTATTTGAGCCTAGATTCTAACTAATTTTTATATATAAACACAAAATAATCCTAAATATATAGTCTTGCTTAACTGTTTATTTATTGAAGTACATATTTTTATTATTACTACTATGAACTACTTTTTAAAAAAATTTTATTATTGGTTTCAAATAAACAGTACATTGGTTAGACATTTATATAATTTATAAAATGATCTCCCTAATTATTCTTTCTCTCCTCTGGCTCTCCACTGAACCACTACACTAATGCTAACAACATTCTCTGTGCCGTGTTCTTCATCACTGTGACCATCTATCTACTACTAATTTGTACTTCTTTAACCCTTCACCCCTTTCTCTTAGCCCCCGTTATAATCCCCCTCCCCTCACGCCATCATCAGATTGTCTTCTATATTTGTAAGACTGTTTTTGATTAGTTTGCTCTTTTTGTTCCTTAGATTCCACATATAAGTGAAATCATATGGTATTTATCTTTCTCTGTCTGACTCATTTCACTCAGCACAATACTCTCTACGTCTATCCATGTCATTGCAAATGGTAGGATTTCACTTTTTAATGGCCGAGTAATATTCCATTATATATATGAACAAAAACTTCTTTATCCAATTGTCTGTTGATGAGTATTTTGGTTGCTTCCATATCTTGGCTATTGTAAATTGTGCTACCATGAATATAGGAGTGCATAGATCTTTATGAATTATTGTTTTGGTAGACTACTTTTTAATTCTCCTCTATATTATATACTGGGTTATGTATGTTTTGAAATTATGAGTATACGTGGATTATTTTATCTAAGAAAAATGTTTTTTACAAGATATTAAAAGAAATTTTAAAAAGTATTTATTTTAAAACAGGAGGAAGAGGGCTGAGACCCACCAATATAGGCTGACAAAAGAGAATAATAATAAAGGTGAAGAATAAACATGTAACGAGTATAGAAAAGTTCCTTTTTTTTTAATTAGCAAAATTGAAATGCCAATCAAGATGGTAAGAAATGGTCATCCATGTAAGAAAAAAAGTTCATTTATAACATACATTATATCACACAGAAGCACTGATTATCTCTAATTTACATCTTCCTAATGGGAAGAAATATTAAGATTTTTAAGAAAAAATTTTAAAATTCTTTTAAAAATTAAGGAAAAATGTTTATAAAACACTATAAAAGAAAAATAAAACTATTAGAAAATCAAGAAAAAAGACTTGATAAAAGGAAAAAAGTTTGGATAATAAAAATGTAGGATTCTGTAAGACATTCACAGTGCAATGTGGCAAAGAAAAGTATTTTTATTAATGATGGTAAAAGATTTTGAAATTTTCATTATGAAATTAATATTAGCTACTGGAAAATAAAATATACTTAATCAACCTAAATCCTGAAAGCAGAAATTCAGCTTTGACATTTTTATATATTTGATCACAGCAATTTCTAAGTAAAACTTAGAGAAGTATCAGAAAAAATTTAAAAATCATTTCAGAAAATATCTTAGTAGAGAATAATATAAAAACCTACATTCTCTTCCATGTAAGATTAGAGGAGATATTTCAGTTTATATTTGATTTCACTCTATTTTCTTCATGTTTAATTTGATTCTATACCAACTTAAACATTAATTTTCCTTCAATGTCTTGAATTAAAACATTGTTTTCTTTACATATCATACATTTAGTATATACTAATTCTAATTTATCTTAATCTTAGACTATAATCTCTCTCAAAATATTAAAAGATTAAAAGTTATCAAGATGATGAAATAATAATTTATGTGGTAAATGTTTTTCATTTTTTTGGTATGTCAATATAAGAATTAATTTTAAGTATCTTCAGAGAAAATTTTAAACTTTCTTACCTGCTTTTTCCTTAAGAAGAGCAACTTGCTGCTTAAGATATTCAATAATTTGATCTGCCTCTGCACCTTTCTGTTCCAGTCTTTTCAGAACAGCATCATTGTTTGCCATTTTTGCCAAGAAACGGCAGAAAATCCTAAAAGATAAAAGTGATAAATTATACTGTAGAAGGAATATATTTATTGTACAGGATAATGTGAACAAGCAGTCTGAAAAGAAAAACATTTTCTACTGTAACATCAATATGTTAGAAAAACATAGAAACAAATTTTCTATGTTAGAAAAAACATATTTTCCCACAGACCAATCCAAAGGCAGAAATGTTAAATTAACTAATTCCTGACTCTGAAATAGGAAATCAATCTTTTTCCTAAATGCAGAAAACATGCTATTTAACTACATTTTAGATAGGAAAGTTTTTAAAGAAAGCTTTAAAATACTGCTGAATATTATGACACAAGATGGGAACATTCAGAGAAAAGAATAACAATAACTTTAACTAAGCTATAATAACTGAATACCACACACCTGTGTTCCAAAGTAAAGAACTGCTGAATTCCTTCTTCATATGTTACTATTGTATTTTAGATATTTCTACTGATTTTTTAATTATGCACAATTTTAAGGAACATGTGATTAGAAAAGAAATAGTAAAAGAAAAAGATCAACAATTAGGAAAATATTGATATTAATTATGTGCCTACTCAGAAATGTCAGTAAATATACTGTGACCTTTGTAAATAAAAATTATTAGAATTTTAATTTTATAATAATTCATAGAAAACATGTCATGTGCAGAAAATGCATATAAGCAAATATTCTGATTAATTCATGTTAAAATTTAAACTGCCAAATATTTCGCATTAACAAAAGATAGAGTTAATCATGAACAATACTAGGAACTGTTCTTTTTTATCTGATTATATAGATGAAAGTGTAACAATTTATAATTTGGATAGTAATTCAAATATATATATCACACAAATACCAAAAAAAAAAGTAAAAATTCATCTAACTTCAAGATAATTCTTATGCTTTACCTTTAAATACTGCACGGCACTAACATGGTATATACATGTATATTTTAGAAATTTAATTATAACTATAAATATATTATAAAATAAGTATAATTTATATACTTGGCTATAAGTTTACAAATACTTGCTTAAATTCTAGTTTTAAATTGCAAATTGGCAAATAAAACTAGGACTGAGAAATGTATTATCACCTGAAATGTTCAGTAAAAATGATTTGTAACCAAATGATTAGACAAAACATGAGATAAAGAAAGAAAAAGATAACATGTTAGTAACAAAGAGAAATGTTAGTAGAAAACATATTTAGGCCATCAAGTTTTAAAATATTGAGAACAGAGAAGGATGAGTGATCCTATTCAATCCTTCATATATAAAATAATTATGAATATTAGAAGTAATTTCAAATTTCCTGATAGGAATTATTAGGTAATAACAGCCAGCGTTTACGTTATCTTTAGTATCTGCCAGGTCCTTTTCTAAGCGCTTTAGTATTAACTTATTTAATCATCACAACACCATGAAGTACATAATATTCTAACTCCTTCTCTTTACCTAGAATATTAAGATCTTATTACAAAAGTAATAAAATAAAATTTAATAATTAAAAAAAAATGGACTTGGAAATCACAGACCTTGGATCAAATACATCCTTTACCCCTCTACGACTTAACAGCTGTGTGAACTTCAATGAATTCCTTAACCTCTCTGGGACTCAGTTTTCTCATTTGCAAAATGGAGATAATTTTATTTATCTCATAGTGTTGATGTGGGGCAAAATGAGACACCATGAGTAATAATTAAGATTTCTGGCACATAGCTAATATATGTCAGGCACTAGCAAAATTTTGGGAACAAAAGATAGGCTATATATACAATCCCCACCTTCAAGAAGCTCACAGCATAGTGGATTCTGTGTCATGATAATTTTTAAATCACTAGGTAGTTTTTTTGTTTGTTATCTTAAAGGTTAAGAAATAAACAATATAAATTATAAAGACTGACATTAAAATGTACCTAATTTGGCTAAGCCATATGTTAATTTTTTGTGTGTGAGCAGTATATATAGTACCTGGGGGTGATAAATATTAATATATTTACATTAATTCTCATGTTGTATTCATAATGTGTAAAATATATCTACGGATGCTTGTCCTCAGGAATACAATAAAACAGCTAACTGAAAATATCTGCATACTTTTCCCTAAAAATAGATACTGCCATAACTGAAAACTCAAAAGATAACAGACTTGAAATTATTTAAATAAATGGTATACAAAAAAGAAACACTCAAATGCATACAACAGATTTCAGTTCAAATGCCTTGTGAAGGTCTTCTAAGAACTGGCAGAACAGTTTTTAGCTCTAGCTCAGAATGCAAAGCAATCCAGGATAAGCCACATATATCAATTTGCCAAATGCAAAGAACTGGCCAAGAATACCAAGAGAAAAATTGTTTTACGAGAATCATGTAAATTGTTCTGGTTTAAGGGAAGGAAAAAAAAAATCACCAAATGCGTTTTGCTCAATTTTGCTGTGAACCTAAGACTGCTCTAAAAAATAAAGTCTATTAAAAAAAGTTCACCGAACCATAAACTTAAGATCATGTAAATTTAAAACTTGAAAATGCTCTACATTCTAATTACTAGTGAACAAAGTTCTCATTTGGTTTTGCAATAATTTTCCAACAGTTTCAAATCATTATTTGTGCTTTACATCATACAGTGATGTATTAGGTTAAACTGTTTTAACTGCTACACTATCAACAATACTACAAAAGTCTCATTAAAAGAGGAGAGTAAATATCATAGGATTGTCATTTCTCTGGCAATAATCAAGTTTTTGTGGCAAAAGAAAGCTTAAGAATGACTATAAAATACACTAGCTACTAACCAGTGTCAACTTTTTCTCTACACATAAATAACTGGTTACCTTGACAATATTATTCATGATTCCAGTATTAAAAATAATTCTCATGAGATATTTTGGATTAGTTTCTAGTCATATTTATGCATTGGCAAAGCTTTTCTCAAATGCTAAGAACTATTTATTGATTTTAGAAGTTTTGAAAACAGGTTTTTTAGTAGTTGTTGATTAACTGTCAGATTTTTCAAAAATATAACTAGGATGCACAAATTTATGTCAACGTTTTCTAGTAATATGCAGATAATGATCACTGGCACTGGCAGAAGAGCGTAGTTTTTTCAAAAAGTAATTACAGCCAACAAATCTTGGTTGAATCACATACTTAACAGGCTGTGTGACTTTGGTAAATTTACTTAATTTCTCTATGCTTCATTGTCTTAATTTACAAAACGAGGATATTTATCTGATTTCACCTACTTCCTTGATATCTTTTATGGCTCCACTTTCTTAACCTGTACTTTACGCTGATGTTCTTCAGTGTTTATTCCTGATCTTTAGTCTATTCTGGAGATTACAACTGTCACCACGCAGATCAGGGATGCCCTTATGTTCCAGGGTTAAGTGTTTGTAATTGAATGCAAATACCTTTAAACAAGGCAAACAAACTTCATCACTCCCTGTAGTCTGAATTTGTTACCTGCCAAGTCCCTATAAAATTCATGACCTCAATTTTACTTACAGTTCCTGATTTTGAGCCATGTATGGGGTTTATAGTAGATAGCAAATTTAAAATGTAAATGTTCTCTGTACTCACTAAGCTTTCAAACACATAGGGAAACAGTAAATTGGACAATTTTTTTTTAAATGAGTTTATGCTTAAGGTAAACCACTAGTTGAACAATGACACTGCTTAAAGCACAGGAAAATCTTTTACCTTCAACTCAGTGCTCATTTACTATTTTATGTCAATTTCTTCACCGTGATTTTCAATTTTACATTGGGTACTCACTGAATTTCAAAACTCTAAAAGTTTCCTTAGTCTCCTCAGAGCTTTTAATATGTTTATATACATAGAATTTCTCATTATTATAGGATTATATTAATAACAGGTAACATTGTGGAGCACTTATTATTATGGGCTGGCTAAATGCTCTACATAGATCACCTATGAATACTGGAATTATCTCCATTATACAGAGAAGAAAACTGAATTAAAATTAATTTGCTCCAGGTCACATGACTAGTAAGTTAATGAGAACAGAAACAGGTCTGTCTGATTCTGGAGTTACCTGTTTTAATGCCCAAGCTATAATTTCTATAATTTAAAGGATATAATTATAAAGCATTTCCTAATGTACTTAACCACAGAATCCTAACCAAAGAACAGCTATTAATAGTTATTGGAAACTAGTATTCTTTAAAACAGTTTGAGAATGCTGGCTTAGTCTGTGCTAAAATTTAAAAAAAAAAAAACAACTATGAGATTAAAATAGGCATGATACAGTAATTACAAATATAAAAATTATAAAGAGAGAAAATAAGACACAGAAAACAGTACATAAGTATGTTAATTGTTCTTGGATAGTCAGAGTCAAGAATTTTCTTTACTAAATTAAAAACATAAAATGAACATATTTTTATAAGTTTTTGAAAAGTATTATCTAAATTATACTGCCCCTTCACATTGTTTATCTCAATGTTCATATTTCATCAAGCCTAAAACACCATGCTGTTAAGATGCTTCTAATCATAAAAACTTCATAAAAGTTCAAGCTGGTTTTACTAAATATGTGAATTTAGACTACATCTTAATCATTAAAACACATATAAAAGATTATTTCTGAAATTCCTATCATTTCTTGTACCTCATCAACCTCAACATTCTTCCTCACAATGATTCTAAATTGCCAGTAATTTCTTTTAAATAACAAATCCCCTGCCCCAGGCTCCTAATGTTGGAACCAAATATAAACAAATAAGCTATTGGTTTGAAATGAAAGTTTTAGAGCAGATTTAAACTTATTTTATAGACTAGGAACTCTACAGAATTTGTAAATGTTTCTCTACTTGACAAAACTTATGATTTTGCTGTCTCAGAATTGCAAAAAAATTTATATTCTTCTTAGATACTCTAGTACCATATTTCATCAAATCTAAGATGCTATCAATTGTAAAATGGCCCCAATAACAAGACGCTCTATTATTTTATGTACCATTAAGAAAAAAACACTGCTGGTTAACTAACCTGATGCTTTCTTATCACTTAGTTACACCCTGTATCATTTATTGAAAATCTTCCTTTAAATTTAGCGCTATTTTTATCTTATATCAATCTTTTGTTTCCTTGTACTTCTGCATACACAATAACTTTTCATTTTAATGCTAATTCATTTTTTAAATGATATTTAAAATGAAAATTAAACTGAACAAGTATATACTAACTGTACACATAAGTCAACCAAACTGATGACAATATTAAGTTATGACCAACTGTGCACAAGTGTGAAACCTGACAACTAGTCATAACTGCCACTTAGTCTATAGAGATTTTTAAGATGTCGACAATTATAAAATGATATTTCAGAGTTGTAAATATGAAAAAAAATGTGTTTATCAGAACTGATAAACCACAGCATTTTAATCACTTTTTTCTCTCTTCTCCTACCCATCCCTATTCTCACTGTCCAAACCCCTTTCCTCCATTTGTTTCACAATTTAATTGCCAAGTTACCCCGTTCTGAGAACATCTTTATTACAGTGCTACACAATATGGTACTTTTTAGAACTAGAATAAAACTCCTGCTAGGATTTAAAATGAATCAAATGTCAAGAGGTAAATAATAAAATTAAAGGTAAACAAAATTAAATATTCTGAGAGTGATGCATCCCAGAGACGTTCAAAATATATAGTACTGGCAACTGCCAGTAAATTCCAGGGGTCTTTTAGCAACCTTTGTCAAAATACAGAAAGATATAAAACTATGCTTTTTGTGAAAGTTCTTATTTATTTATTTATTTAGTGGGTGGTGAGAATTAATTCAAATTTGAGCTCTGCCACTCATTGGCCGTATGACTTAAAAAAAAAAATTCTAACTTTTAATTTTTTATTTAGGTATAATTGACATATAACATCATAGTTGTTTCAAATGAAGAGCACGATATTTATATACAGTATATTGTAAAATAATCACAATAGTCCAGTTAATATCCTTCATCATAGTTACATTTTTTCTTATGTTAATCTTCAAGATCCATTCTCCTTTCAAATATGCAATACAGTATTATTAACAATAGTTGCACATCATCATGACTTAACCATTTTGTAACTAGAAATTTGTATTTATTTTTGATTTCCTTTTCTCACCAGACGCCTTCTTTCCCTTCATAATGAGGGTCCTGCAGGTTTTAAAGAATGGCAATGAGAGGTTGGTTCATGTACCTCAGATACTATGGCTATTAACAAAGAAAACCTTCCTGTCCAGTGAAATATGCATAAAATTTTAAAAGGGGTATGTCTAGGTCTCCCACGCCCTCTTAACACACACCAGGGGCATCTTCTACCTGGTTCAAAGTTCTTCAATAAGATTTAACCGTCCCTTTCCACCCACAGGTGCACTCACCTCTCTTATTTCTTATTCAAACACACAGCTAATAATAGCCATTACTTTAATGAGCCAGGCACAGTACATACATTGTCATTTAACCTTTACAACCTAGTGAGATATTTCCATTTTATAACCTCAGAGAAATTATGTGACGTGTCTAAATCCATTCAAATATTAAACGGCAGAGCCATAATTTTAACTCGTCACTCCAAAACTCACATTACGATTCACTTTTAAACTCTTTCCGAAACCTAATTAAAAGAAAATTACCTCATCATCCAGTAATAAATACACTTACATATCAAAATTAAGTACACTAGGAATCTGGCTGGCCACTTCTTATCCACCCCTAGTCAAGGCACGGTCCTGTCTCCTCTGGATTACTGCAAAAGCCTAACTGGTTTTTCTTCCACCCTGTCCACTTCTGTCTATCTCGGTAGCACCCAAAGAGATCCTTTTAAAAAGTAAGTCAGAACATCACTCCACTGCTCAAAACCGTCCAATGTTTTAGATATTCTCAAAACCCTTCATGATCTGCACTTGCTTTCTCTAATTCTGTCTCCAGCTTTAACAATTTTACTCTGACTCACAGGCTTCTTGCTATTCAGGCAAGTTCCTGCTTCACAGCTTTTGCAGTGGCTGGTCGCTGTGCCTGACTGTACTTCCCCAAGAAATCTGTATGGTTCTCTCACTACTGTCAGCTCTCTACTCGAAAGTCATCTTTTCAGTGAAGCCTTCCCTGGCAACACTAAAATTGCAACCTATATCCTCCTTCCCTGCTGTATTATTTTTCTCTTCAACACTCGTTACGACCTAAATTATAGCATTTCTTAACTTTGTTTAGTATGTGCCTTCCTCAATAAAATGTGAACTACAGAGAGGCAGGCATTTTGGTCTGTTTTATTCATTGCTCTTTTCCCGGTGTCTGAAACAGTACCAGGAACCCAGTGAGTGCTTAATAACTACTTGAGAAATGAGTTCCTGTCTCCCCACTCCCATCACTGTTCAGTTTCTCTTTCTCTTCTCTCTCTCTCTTCTCTCTCTCTCTCTCTCTCTCTCCCTTCCTCCCTCCCTCCCTCCCGCCCTCCCCCTCTCTCTCTCACACACACAAACACGTAAACATGTTTCTAAATATATCTTTCCTAGCAGCATCCTATCTCTTGGCTCCGTATCCAGTTTCTCAAATGTGAGTTCTTCAAAAGGTCCAAACCTCTTCCCTAGTGCCTGATGCCCAGATTGGTGCTGGTATGAGCTGCCTTCTCACTCGTATCCGCAGGCCAGGTCTGATCTCCCGAGGGCAAGTAAGGGAAAGGGGACTCTTACGATAGCAATCTGCCTACCCTGGGACCCTCCGCGACGTCACTCACATGAATCGGCGGACAGATGCACTAGGGAAGCCTCAGCCTGGAGCAGCAGGTAGGGAGGGACAAGCCTCCCGCACAAGACGGCAGTGAGAAAGGACTCCGCGAGGTGTCCGCACCAAACGCCTGAGCGCTCCACAGATTCAACTCCAACTATGTCACCTGTCACCCTTTCTATTCGCAGCCGCACCACGCTTCCCGTCTTCCATTCCTTCAGTCAATAACGCCAGTCTCCTGTACCTCGTCCTCTGTCGCAACATTTTGTAGCCAGGTTGGGCAAAGGGCAAGACGCCGGACTTCGGGGTCTTTCCTCAATGTTGTGGCGCGGAGGCTGTGAGGTCAGAGGAAACGACCAGACGGAGTGGAGGGTGGCGAGGGTACAGCTGGGAGCTGTCAGTGCAGAGGGCCGGGCTTGCGATCCTGGCAGGATTCCGAGCTGGGACATCGGCCGACTTAATTTGCAGGCAAAGGGCAGTTTCTGAGCTCCGCGCGCTCCGGGAGCAGCCTCTTTTGTAGCAGCACCTGAAATGCAGGGCCTGGTGCACTAAGCAGTAACGGCGACAGCAGCCACAACGACAGTCCTGGGGCCCTGTGTAGAAGCTTCATACCCTTGTCTTTGTGTCCGCCTGCGTCCCCACACTCAGAGGCAGGTATTTGGGTTTCCCACTTGTATTTGTCGTAGTGGGTAGGGCTGGTGGGAGGTAAAGGAAAGGCAGGTGCAGCGAGCAGCCCCGCCTGATCTCAGTGAGAAGTAGAGCTGCTTGCTGCTCAGTACTGTCCCCGTCGCTAGCTGCAGCTTCCCTTCCGCCTACACATGTTTACCTGAGTCCTCTGAAAGTAACCACTGCAACACTGCTTCAAAGGAAGACTTAAGAGAAGATTAGAGAATGTGGAATTGGCTCTCCCATCACTCACCGCAGATGCGAACTCTTGTTTTGGTTTGTTTTTGGTTAGCAAAGGTTTAGTCAGTTGTTGAAATGTAATTTCCTGCTGGAGTGGAAGAAAGTGAACAAGTGGAAGTTACTTTGTAATTGTAACTGGTTATTTTTTCATAACCCCTTTGTCCCTATTTTTATTGAGACAGAAAGACACTCTTTGAGGGAAAGTATATAAATGAACTAGTTTTATTTGCCCGTTGAAGAAGTGTGAAGACTTTTTTTATTCATGATGAAATCAGCAGCTTTTGCCCATTTTTTGACGCCTTCCCCCTCCATTTGGGTCATTTCAACTCCAGGTTCTTTGAGGGTACAGATTGTGTCTTCACTGTCATTAGCCTGGCCAATGGAAAAATATCCTACTTAAAATGGGATCTTCAAGAGAATTTGTTGAATAAATTTCCAAACCTAATTGTTTACATTGTTGTTTTTCCTCTAATCTCTCACCTCAGCTGTTTTTTTTTTTAACTAGATCTTTTCTACTCACCAAGTGAACAAATCTGTGTGTATTTTTTATGCATGAGCCTTTTTATGTGCACCTGCCTAAAGTAGTTGAATCAGAACACTGATGTTTTATGCTAACTAGTGTTGTATCTTTCTGAATCATTTACATTTTCTTTATTTGGTTATTTGATTTTTAGTTGTCTAAGAGATAGATAACTAAATTTAAATCAATAGTATAGTGTAGTAGGATTGCATAATAAAACTTAACAGTTCACCGTCTCTCTTTCTCTCCCTCAGTCCTGTTCTTCAGAGATAACCACTTTTAACCTTATTTAATTTTAGGTCTGTATGTTGTATAATAAGTTAAACTGCTAATTCTTTTTTTAATTGACATTTTAAGATAGTCCACACCATCCACAATCTCCTCTCCATATTTTTGTACAGGTATCACATATTTGTTAGTAATATATTTTGTTCCTTTACCACTGTAGAAACCAAATCCACTCCCACCTTCCTTTGCCCTTTATGCTATATAGTCTTTCCTCAATTATCTGAATTATCTGATGATTCCTGGACAGTTCATTACTTAAGAGTTAAGAAAAGCTGTCTAGGAGCTTTGTGCATATGGACATGCTTGTTGATTAGCATACTCTGTTTTAGGATAGCTGAGTAGACAGCCAGATCTTAACTGGGGTCCTACAAATTACAGAATTAAGAGGAGTTTGCTTTTGTTACCAGTGCCTATAGCAGCTATTTATTGTGATTTTCACGCAATTTGTTTAATTTCTTTATAGAAGAACCTTACTGTTTTTGCTTGAAGGATAAATAATTGACAATTGGGTGCTGGTGGCCGAGGTGACTTTTCTATTCTTCAGCCCTTCAAATTATCTTTCTCATTTCAAACCCTCTTCTCGCTCCTGTTCACCATTGTTTCCACCTTTTCTTTCTGAAGCCTCTGGATCTTAAAGGGGCTGAGCAAACCTCTTGACTATATTATAGATTGTAGCCCCCTTCTTGTGTGTGTATGTGTGTGTGTGTGCGTGCGCACGCAAAATGATTTACAGTAGTTTCTTGAAATCTTTCATCAACTCATGGCCCTTTTCTTCGTTATGAGTTTATACACTTTAAAACATTTTAATGCTTTTAATGAGGTTTCCAGGCAGGCATATGAAAAGTGTCCTATTATCTTAATTTAGAATGCCAGATTTTTGGAAGCTGAGAAGAAAAGAATGCAGTGCTTGACCAATGGAATGTCTTTTTAGTGGTATACCTGGGCGAGAGAGAGATTTTTTTGTCAGGGACTTTTTTGTTGATTGAATGAGATTGATTTTAGATCAGGTTTCTTCATCTCCAGGCTCTTCTATTACACAACTCTGGGGGACCATTTGCTTTGGAATCCATGCTAATAGGACCCCTCAGGATCTACACATGGAACATCTATCTCTAACCTGAAGCAATAACAGTTATCAAGATTCTTGAGAGAATTAAAATAGATCACATGTAAAACACTTAGCACAAAAACAAAAATTGATTAGTCATTTAAGTAACATTATAGTGCCTTCTGTTATCTAGTTTAATTTTTACTACTATTAGTAGTCCCTGATTATTTAAAGTTTCTGGTTGGTGTCTATATTTCCTCTTCCTGATTTCCCTCACTCTGAAAAGGAAAAGTTTGTAATAATCTGCGAGTTAAGTTTTAGGTAAAAAGAAGAGCCTTATTGATATGAATATTCAAATAACAAACTTACTCTAAACTCTTATAATTGTCATGTGTCATTGAAGGAGCAATGTTCTATCTTTTTCTTTATAAACCATTGAAAATCTTTGATTTTGTTTTAGAGCTGTGATATAAATTTATGACCGTGTGGTTTTTCCTGTTTTATATTATCTTGGAATTTTAAAACTTAATTTTTTTTTTACTTTGAAGTGTTCAGATTAGCATTTCCTCCAAGTTATATGTGGTTAATCACGTTTAAGTTGAGAAAACGCTGGCTTAATCTTTGGTTGATCTGCCCAAAACTCTCCTTTTCCAGATTATCTTGGAAGATCTAGGACTCCGAAATGTTTCCCTTGAAGGATGCTGAAATGGGTGCTTTTACCTTCTTTGCCTCGGCTCTGCCACATGATGTTTGTGGAAGCAACGGGCTTCCTCTCACACCAAATTCCATCAAAATTTTAGGACGCTTTCAAATTCTTAAGACCATCACTCATCCCAGACTGTGCCAGTATGTGGATATTTCTAGGGGGAAGCATGGTGAGTTGTTGTTTTCTCCATTGTGTGTTCTCTACTCTGTTACCCTGATAAGATTACAAATATATAGTGAATATATGAAATCAGTATGAGTGTGCATGTGTGCCTTCACCTTTCACTCCAGCCAAAACTCCAGTCATTTGAGTTTTCTCGACTACATTTGAATGATTCATGTTTCTCACATCTGAGAATCAGGATTCTTAGTTTTCTCTCTTAGGGAAACCACCTATTCTTAAACATATTTCTTCCCCTCTATAAGAAGGAAATGAAAGTTTTAATTTTAGAAACTTTGGAATTCTCTGTTGGATTGTATTTTATGATTGAAAGTAAGAATTTTGACTAAGTCTCTTCAAATAAAAAGAGAGCCACTAATTTTTTTTTTTTTTTTTGAGCTGCAGTAGTCTCTTCATATAGGATTCCATTTGGAGAACTAAGGTAGAAAAGTTGAACCCAATTGGGTTAAAAAGTCAGTGTTTCGCCAAGAGGATGTTTACTGCCTTTTCGGTAATATAGTCAGGTTTTTCCATGTCCCATATCTTAGTCCATTTGGGTTGCTGTAACAAACTGTCATAAACTGAGCATTTTATGAACAACAGACATTTATTTCTCACAGTTCTGGAGGCTGGGAAGTCTAAGATCAAGGCACCAGGAGATTCCATGTCTAGTGAGGCCCATTTCTTCATTGATAGCCATCTTCTCAGTATAAACTCATATGGTAGGAAGGTCAAGAGAGTTCGCCCAGGCCTCTTTTATAAGGGCATTAATCAAAATTTGAAGGCTCTGTACTCATGACCCAATCACCTTTCAGAGGCCTCACTCCCAAATACCATTCCATTGAGGAATAGGTGTCAACATATGGTTTTGTGGGAGACACCGATGTTCAATCTATAGAGTCCCTAAAAATGTTTATGGTGGCAATATTGTAATTATTTAAAAATTATTTTTGGAAGCTTAATTGCATGCTGAGGTTTCATTTTTTTCTTAAATTTTAAAAATATTTCAGTGAAATGTATTTAATTTTTCAGACATATATTTCAAATAATTTGTAAAAGTTAATCCTATATACTTGCTGATATTGAACTGTTTTTTCCTATAAAAATGGCATTTTCATGTATTTGTCCTAATATGAAAAGTTCTCAAAAATGCAAACTACATTTTCTTTATTGTTTTGAAAAATAGGTTAAATGATACTTTCAAGTAGTTTGAGTTATGTCTTAAAAATATTTGCTATGAAAGTTTTATAGACTTTGAGTAGAAAATGTTTAGGGTAATAAATATTATCAATGGCTAATATTTATTGAGTGCTTATCATGTATTAGGCAGCATTCTAAGTGCTTTATATATTTTAATTAATTCTCTGAATATTGAGGTAGGAGCTATTATTCTCATTTCGCAGATAAGAGAATTTAGGCACAGAACAATTAAGTAACTAATCCAGGAACTTTTGGCAAGTTTGTTTTGTTGTTAAATAAAAAGATGAAACTTTTTGCTGAAGTTTTTATTTGTTAAGTGGCTTTGATGACATTAACTAAATGTTTAAAAATGATAGAAATCATTTGGGGTTTTTGTATCACTGAAAAAGTGACAGGTATTGTCAATCTCCCCCCCATCCAATTAGAAATTTTCAATTGTCTGGTTTGTCCAGTTCCAAAACCACTCTAGACAAAGCTTGGAAATATAGTAGATACTCATTGGCATCCATAGCTGGTGACTGTAGTTAGTCTTGCTGTTTTACATCTGCAGATTTGAAGTATGCCTACCTTCCAAGTTATACCTCTTTCCAGTTTTCCTTAGGCTTTCTTTTCTTAGGATAATTGACTCAATAGTCCTGGATATTTCTTGAGGTCCATCTCTTCCTCCTTCTACCCAAATGAGCCCCTGTAAACACTGAACCAGGAAAAACCTGATATAATCCCTATGGGGAACACTGTTGGTGACTTTGCACAGGAATTTTTTTCGTTATCAGTGTCAGATAAGAACCGATCCTCTTAGATACTGTAAGACTCTGTTAGTGTTGAAGCCAGCTTAAGAATCTGGGTAGTTAGTTTTTTTAGGCCCGTCCACCATGTTGTTATTTATTCTGCTTCCCCTCTTTGCCCTGCTAGATCTCAGCAGCCCTCTCTTTTAGGGTGACACAGGTCATAGATATATATAAAATTCATATAGATTAAGTTCAGCTGCTTGGAATGGAAATATCAGTGATTGTAAAAGGTCAAGGAATTTGATTATCTTATTTATGTTGGCACTGCTCATTGTCTTGAAAAGTTGTATGCATAAGGAATAAATAACTAAATTAGAATATGTGTTTATGTAAATGTCTCTTTGTTCCAAAGCATCTTAATCTTTTCAGTTGCATTTAGTCTGAAAAAGTTTTTTTCAGATGAAATTTGAAGTTTCTACTCAACAATCTCCTCACTGAACACACATTTCTCAATGATGTAACAACATGATTTTGGTTTGGACTCCATTTAATTGTCTTCTCAAAGAATTTTGATTTTGTTTTCTTTTCCCTCTTTGTTCTGTTCTTGCCATACAGATTCTTTACATTTTACCACTGTTATTCCCCACTTCCACCATCCCCTTCCTATTTAGAGTTAAGTATGACTTATGGTTGCTTTTAGTAACATGTTTTCAAATGTTGAGTTAGCTCAGAAATCAGGATTTCACTGATTTCTATAGATAATTCAAAACTGATTCAAGATGATACTAGTTTCTTGCTAACTCAGCAGGGTGAAGTAGTTAATCTCAAAAATAGTGGACATTTTATTAGAATTTGAGATCTTGGTTTTAAAAAAAAAGTTAAGGAAAATATCTTTAAAATGAATAAAGCAAATAAAGCATGAAACTAGTTAACAAATTTAATCTTTTTATTTTGAGCTACAAATCTCAGCAGTGTTTAGAAGCAGAGAAAAGTTTGTAAATTGTAATACATCCCATTTTATTTAGTACTGATCACCCAGAAATCTTTTGGTTATTGCTAGTGAAATCAAGAACAAAATTATTTTAACTGATAGATTTGAAATTCAAGTAGAGAATAATAGAATTGTTAAGGACCTGTAAGATAATTTATTCTATATCTCTAGATGTATGTAATTTCAACCTAAATGTTTATATCATTTCAGAGTTCCATCAGAGAAATAGAACCAGTAGGATATATATAATTATTAAGTATTAGTAATTTATGTTATTGTGGAAGCTGAGTAGGCAAGTCTTAAATCCATAGGCACGATACCAAGAAGGACACTGAACTCTTAGATGAGAACTGAGCTGTAGTCCCTGGGTAGAGTTTCTTCTTCAGAGAAGTTTCAATTCTGTTCTTAAGGCCTTCATGGCTGATTGAATCAGGATCACCGAGATTATCTAAGACAATCTCTCTTACTTAAAGTAAACTGATTATAGGTTTTAATCACTTATAAAATACCTTCACAATAAAACCTAGATTAGTGTTGTAATAACTGGAGGCTAGAGCCTAGCCATATTAACTCATAAAATCGACTATCACAGTGACCTAGTAACAATACTGTTTTTTAAGCACACAATTTTTCTTTGTTAGTTTTACTATATAAATATTTATGTAAATGTTATATTTAAAAGGTGATGAGCTAATCTGAACTTTTACTGTGAATAACAAAATAATGATGCAATATGCTAATAATCTTTCAGATCATTTTAACACATTCACAAATTTTCTGTTAAAAAATATTTAATCTTTTTTAAAATCTCTTTCCTTATCCTTCGTTATCTTTCTTGCTCCATATTATCCTCTCTTTAATTTCTTAGCATTAAATTAAAACTATGATTCAAGCTATATGTACACTACAGTGATACTTGACAGTCATCAGATATTAGAAGATTATTTCACAGTCTTATATGTTCTATTCTTTAAAGTTCATTTTAGTGTCACATTTGTTTTTTATAAATAATGCCACTACATTGTTGACTTATATCTGGCATATTATGATTCTTAAATATTTTTATCATATTTTATTTTGTGAAACTATGTTGTTTTTTATAACAAACGGAAGTTATTTTTAAACAGTAGTTCAAAATTTCAGTATGAAGAAGACTCTCTAATGATTTCTTGAAAAAACTAGTTTGTATTGGAAACATTGTTTTGGTATACATTTTGTTACCTCTGGGAGAAACTTTGATATTCTACCAATCATCATGGCTCTACTGTGTTAAAATAATTCTTCAATATTCCATGGGATTCTGAAGCTTTGGCAAACTCTGGTTAATGATATTTTGAAGGAGCTTCCAGAAGAAGCCTGACAAAAATATTTTTCTAAATCATTTTAAGCCTGACAAATTTTAGGCTAATACCACACACTTTGGAAATCTCTCATAGATATTGAGACTTAAATTGTATAATTTAAAATTATTAATTAATGGAATATATACATTTTAATAAATTCTGATGTTTTTGTTGTAAAATTAGTGCTATTGAGGTATTATTATGCCTAATTTGGAACATACACGTATACTTTCTGCAAAGAACAGATTTCTGTTTAGGTAATGATTGTTACCATACGAGACTCTTATTCATTTCTAATGGCCACATTATGGCTTTGCTCAAATTAACTCATTTAACAAGTATTTTTATATTTGATGTTTATAGCTATAGTGCTATTCTAGACAATGGCGCTATATTTTGAACAAGACCAATATTGTTCCTACCATCATGAAATGTATTATCTAGTGGAGAACAAAGTCATTAAATAAAAATCTATGTAAATCTTTAGAGTTGAAATAAGTGCTGCAAAAGAAAAATAAAATGTAGAATAGATTACAGTATAGGTGGAGCAAATTAATTGGAGTGGGGCAGAAAAGTGTTCCTTGTGGAAGTCACATTTAACCGAAGAATGAAAAATAATAATAACTAACACTTAGATGATGATTGCTATATATCAGGCACTATTCTAGGGTCTTATTATATACTAACTCATTTCAACCTCAGAACAACTTCATGAAATAAATGCTATTGTTTTCTTCATTTTACAGAAGAGGAAGCTGTGGCATAGAGAGGTTAACAAACTTCCTCAAAGTATTAAACCTCAGATTTGAGCCCATACAGAATAGTCTCTGCTCTTAACCACTTTGTTTCCTGATAGTCATTAATTGGGAGAAGGAAATAAGGAAGATCATTTTAGGCAATGGGAATCCTTGTGCTATTACCTTAAGGCACGAAAGGGGAAGGAAGGCCAATGTGATTGGAAGTTGGTGAGCAAGAGGTAAAATAAAAAAATAAAGCTAGAGAGGAATTACATATTCAGGTTTATTATTTTATCACTTAGACTTTAGTATGAAAATATATTGGAAGGGAATGAGAATGTGAAGATCTTTTAAGAGATTGTTATAGTAATCTAATAAGAGGTGATGCTAGTTCGGACTCAATTGTAGCAATCGGAGCAAATTGTACAGATTCTGGAAACTGTTGGAAGATAGAAATACCAGGATATTTTGTTTGGATTTGAGAAAGGGAGATTTTTCCTAAGTTTCTAGCTGCAGCAGACACTGAGATAGTAGTACCATTTACTCAAATATTAACAAGCTTAAAGAACAAACTATATGTTCAATTTGGGTTCTGTTGAGTTTGAGGTGACTTTTATATTAAACTGAGAACTTGTATATAAAAGCTGGAATTCAGAAGAGAGTCCTGGGCTTGGAATAAAATTTGAGAGTTTTTCAACCATGGGAGTAAGTGAGGAGAAAACACAATATGAAGACCCAAAATCAAAGGTATGGGAACTAGACACATTTAAATTAGGGTCGAAATGATGCCATTGTATAGAGGAGACAGGAGAGGTAGCCAGATAGCTGTAAGGAAAACTTGGAAAACATGGTAAGATGGAAACCAAAGGAATGTAGCGTCTCATTTTGGTTTTCTGATGGTATTATTTGCTTTTTCCTTCTAGAACTTCACAGTTGTACTAAGTTGCTTAGAGTTCAACTTTGCATGCTTTTTCTTTTATTGAATCGAAGAACAGATTTTTTATTTCATGATTTTCTTCCCTGTTCTCTTTTTCCTTTTATTCCTAAGTGTTCTTTCAAATTTAACTTCCTTTAAGTTCCTGTTTAGATCACTTGGAGTCTTTCATCTAAAAATGATAGCTTTTTTTCCAAGCATTTTTAATTTTAGTGTTTCAGATCATTATGTATAATGCCACCAGCTTAGACAGTTTCAGCTTCTAAGATGTAACCTATGCAAAATCATGCCTTCACACCTCACATGACTTCCTGTATACCATTGTCCTTCATCTCTGTGCCCCTATGCAAGACCTCACGTTGATCTAGTCATTACTGAGTTATTCCTTGTACTGAATCTCTTACTCTGATATTTTCCTTTCCCATCTTCTGCTGTCTAATTTTTCTACCTTTGCTGCTTTTCGTTTTCACCAAATCTCTTTATAGTTATCACTATTTCCAATCTCATTACACCTTCACTTCTTTATCTTGTCTGACATCTATATTTTGTGTTAACCTTCTTCCTTATCTAACCTAGAACCCACTTTGCATGGATATTCACAGTATTCTTTTTAAACTCTTGATCTCTCCTAAAATAACCTTATCGTATACCCAACCACCCATTTATACTTTTCTCTTGCTTCTCTTACATTCATCTATTCATATGTATATATGCACACACACACACACACGCATATATATATATAATCTGTTACTGTGTCAGACAATGTGTTAATCACTAGGGATAACTAATGAATAAAAATAAGTTATAGACTGACAATCAGAACTGTACACTCTTATTCATAGAGTTGATCTGTTGGGAAATAAAAATTACATCATAATAGTGATTTTGCCCACCAAAATTTTATTACTTAATTTTAGAAGACCCTAGGATGTTACAAACAATCCCGATATGCTTTCTGTCTTTCTCCATAGTCATGATTCAGAACATTTCTGCTTTTCTTGAGTTTCCGAACTCAGTTTCACAGATCTTGTGTTAGTCCCAGGCTGTCAAGACAATCTATCCCTAGCTCCCAATTTCCCCTTGCCTTCAAAATTTCTATCTTCATCCAAACTTTTCCTTCTTCTAGCCTGTGTCAGAGGAAGTATCACTTCTTTTTTCCAAAGGTAAGCCTTTCCGTCTGTTTTTCCTGATGCACAGGGGAAAAACTCTAGAGAAAAACACAAGATGAAAAGAAATTGTTATTTAATGTATTGTTATATATGTTGATCCTGTTATTCTATATATTTGGTAATTATGTAGTCAATATAGAGTTTCTTTTAAAATACCATTTGTACTATATGTTAATATCTTTAGTGGTATATATTATTTTGTTATTAAAATGTGTTAATCAAATATGAAGTGGATTTGTTTTGTTTTACTCAGAGAGACTGGTGGTGGTGGCTGAACACTGTGAACAGAGTCTAGAAGACTTACTTCGAGAAAGGAAACCTGTGAGGTACTGTGTAACATCAGGAAATTTAAATGAAAAGCAGAAATTTGCAAACAAAGACATTTTAAATAGAAACTTCAGGGTTTTAGTTTCTTCTGTTACTTGTTTAATGATAAAATATAGGTACAAATTTTCATTTTAGGAAATTTAATTCAAGGGCCTCATAGAAATTCATCTTTGACGTTATCCAGTGTTCAGCTATTGTTAGGTAGGCATTCTCCAAAGTACTTGACAAAAATTCCTACAGGGAATATATTTGAAAATTTGAAATCTTTTTAGTACTAAGCATTTCTTTAGCTCAGATTAAGAGTGTTTTCCTAAGAGGGATACTTAATAACTTATCACAAGATACTGGTATTCCTAGGGACACAGTAACTGTTTTAAGTAAAGGCCATGCTGAAGAGTAGTGAAAAGTAATAATGATGGCTTGGGTGGAATCTAATGATACAGTTTAAATTCGGTTATTTCAATGAGCCAGTAAATTTATTTTCTACTTAAGGCATTCTTGACAAGAAGAGCATGTTTTCTAAATTTCATTATAAATATTCCATTAAATGAGCTGCTTCAAATATTTTCTGAAATTATATTAAAATCATCAAAAGTATTTCTTTAATGAATTAAAAAAATGTTGTACAAACCAATGAAAAGTACTTCCCAGGAGCCTTTACAGGATTATGATTATCTATTCTAGTTTAAAGAAATATTCTTGTTGGTTAATACTTCTTAATCAGTGCTGTATTCTAGAAGAAAATAAATCTCTTTCAAGGGAGAAAAAAATATATATCTTACTAAATAGTAGTAATTTAATAAAAGCAAAAATTACTTACTTAATAGTAGTAATTTAATAGAAGCAAAAAAAATTACATAAAAATGCTTTCCTTACTACTTTAAATGATTTGGTTTTAAGTAGTCTCTGGAATGAAAGATGCAGATATCAAGTATACCATTCATTGCCTTATTTTTCTATATATTTAGAAATAGCTTAACATTATGTAGTGAATATGTTTTTATAATTTTTGCATGTCACAAATCTTTGATTTTATTTTTTAAGAATGTATTACTCTTTGTTCACCACTTTAAATGCATAACTTATAGGCCACTGGTACTACAAACAATTTTCTGTTAAAGCTAGTTAACATTAAAATTGAAAAGCAATTCTAGCCACATCTTTATGGAAAAACAAAAACAAAAAACACTTTCTTTTAATTCAGCCTGGGTTAAGTATGTATAAAGATTGGGAACAAATTGTAGCCATGTCTTCATCTAGGAATTTTAGCTGAGCATGGGTTAAATTTGTAAAAACATTTACAGTTCAGTATGTATGATGAAAAAGCCACTAACTGCTAGGCAACCTTGGATAATTTTCTTAATCATTTTCCTTATCTGTAAAACAAGGAGTTTTATTTGATCTAGGATTATTCTAAAGGCAGTTATTGTGAACTTTATGCTTTATTTATTGTGCATTACATCTGATAATATAATATTGACCAATTGCCTTTATATTTTTATGTTTTCTGATACTAATATATAAACCTACTATTGCCTTTTATTTAAATAGTAGATTTCTCGACAGTAGAACCCATGACAAACCTAAGTGTAAAATTACAATGCTGTAATTTAAAAGGCTAAATTGTTATAGAAACATCTATTTTATGATCCAAAAATCCCACTATTAGAGGACCTGCTAAAATATTTATCCCTAGGTACCTCATTTGTCTTACTCTAGTCCCAACCTTGCCTTGGTATTTAACCAAAAGAAAGCAAAAATAAATGTCCTTCAAAATATTTGCACAAGAATGTTCCCAGAAACATTATTCACAGTCACCCCAAACTGGGAAGAACTCAGATGGCCATCAGTGGGAGAATGGATAAACAAATCGGGATATATAAATCAGCAGTACTGATGTGCACAATACCATGACCAACCTTAAAAATATTCTGAGCAAAAGAAGCTAGACTCAAAAGATTATATTCATCTATTTATGTGACAATCTAGAACAATCATAACTCATTCATGGTGGTAGATATAAAAGCAGTGCTTGACTCTGGTTTTGGGGAGGGGTAATACAAGGACTGATTCAAAATAGCCTTGAGGGACCTGTATGGGGTAATGTAAGTTTTTTACATCCTGCATGTTCTTGCAAAATTTTTCAAAGCTCACTGAAATATACACTTAAGGTGTGTGCATTTCACCTATGTAAATTATACCTTCATTTTTTTTTAAACCTGTTGAGTTATTTACTTTGCTTGAGTTTTGAATCCCTCATATAGCAACAATATTATGGTGTTAATGAGGATGTTTGAGTGAGTGACGTATTTCTTTGTATTTCTTTGTTTTTATAAGAAGAAATAGTGGTAATTAGTTATTGTTTCTTAAATTACCTTAACACTTAGTGGCATACAGCAATAAACATCATTTCCATAATTTGTCTGAGTCAGGAATTAGCTTAGCTGAGTTGTTCTAGCTCAGGATCTTATAAGGTTGCAGTCAATGACTACAGCTGAGGCTGTAGGCTGTAGTCATTTGAAAGCTTGACTGGGGATAGATGATTTGTTTATAAGATAGCTCAGATATTTGGTGACAGTTGTTGACAGGAGGATTTAGTTCCTCCCTGACCTGAGGGCCCTTCCACAAGCCTTTTGGCTATGCTCACAGCCTGGTTGCTTGGCTTCTCAGAGTGTGCAGCCTCTGAGAGAAAAGAAAGCAAAGGTGGAAGTTGCAATGCATTTTTTGACCTAGTGTTAGGAACCAGTATGTTCCTGAGGTACATACTAGCACAGTACCATTTATGCAGTATTCTATGGGACTTGGAGGTCAGCCATTAACTCTGGTGTGGGAGGGGACTACACAAGAATGTGAATTCCAGGAATCAGGGGTCATTGAGGATCATCTTAGAGGCCAGCCATCACAGAAATTTTTGAGATCATCAAGTACTTAAAAAAAAAAAAAAATAGGAGTGAAATACTCAATCAACATTAACACTAGCTGAAAAATAACTACTAGGTTTTCTTATAAGAAATGCGTTCTTAAAATTATTTAGTATTTGGGCATTTGGGGCAGAAGAAGGAGTTTATGAAGGGAGAGAGGGTTGAGCATTAGGGGAATATCAAGAAGTATTAGAGATGGAAAAGGGTCTTCACAGAGTCTTCCTATGCTATCGGAATTGCTCTACATTCTAAAAGTTGATGTTACCCACGCTCTGGTGTTCCCAGCCATTCTAACGTACTCTATAAGCCACAACTAGAGTAGTTTTCTGGTCATCAGGATGTATAACTGTAGAATGTTTGTTTTGATCTCCACATTTCCCTCTCTGTCCATATCGTCCTTTCCTGACTTACTAAAAGGACTGAGGCAGACGAGGGAAACTGGTAACTCAGAGGACAAATTTCCATTCTCATCATTTTACCTCAACTCTATCATTTGATTTTTTTACTTTCAATTTACTATATAAGGATACAGTTGATATTGCTTTGCCAATAAGATTAAATCCATTAGCCCATGAAATGGTTTATTTTTCTGTGCTTGTCATCCTTTATCCTTGTTTTAGAGATAATAAATCTCATAGTATAGAACACCAATAGTTTCAATAGTATAAAAGTGTAAATAAGCCACTTGTCTTCAGTGCCTTTCTATATATCTTCATGAGGAGAAAATGTTACTGATGGAAGTATATTCTTTGAACAAGTAGACGAACATAAACAGGATTAAATGCAAATTTCATAGTATGCTATTTACTACTTTTAATGGTCTTTTATTTAAATTAGAACATACAGTAGCTTTTATGGGTCTTTGTTCTGTTTATATATATATGTGTGCATATATATCTTCAAATAAGATATATATATAAACATTTTTGTAAAGTACTTTTTTTCATCATTCTAGTAATAGACTAAAATTCAACATTTATTCATTTTGAAATATAGCATTCAGCACTTAAAAAGTCTTTGAGTAGAAATGATTCTTTCAGGTTCAGTTCCAAGTTGTTATCTGATCCAATTCAACTAAATTAGCTTTGTGGAAAACTATTTGACTTTCCATGTGTTTGGATTACATTAGTCTCCAATAGCAGAGCAGGTTTCATATGCTGAGTTGATGTGCTGCAATTTTAATTAATTCTATAACCTGTTTATGGAAAGTGAGAAGGTGTTCTTATGGCTTATAAATCAGTTCTTTCCCCTACTGCCAAAAGTAAACACCCTGCACCTGTAAGAAAGGCTAATGCAAAGTAAACAGGAAATCTGTTTTCAATGGGGTCGCAATTTGAGACCCATGATTTTTGCTTGTCCATCTGTCTCTAACTGTTGCAAAATACTAAGCTGCTAGTTGTCTGGTAGTTATTTGCAGTTGATTGCCTGAACTTAAACACCATTCAAGGCATATATCTTATTGGATTTATTATATTTTGAAGAAAATTTTAAATCTTTTGCAAAATTGGTAGGATTTGGTAGGAGAGTAGAGGAATGGAGGAATGGAGACTAGAAACTTAGAGGAGTCTTGTGTCAATTTACTCACTAACTTTTTTATAACAATTTTAATATCATTAAACTAAGTAATATTGTACTAAAACATAATAGTGGTAATTTGTATTACAAATATATTATTGCTTAAGACTATCTTGTGGTTTCAGACCCTACTAACAAATTAGGCACTCTCTCTTTTTATAACTTTAATGGCCATAAAACCCTTTTGAGGATTCATGTTATGCAAACAAAATAATAATTTTGTATTATGTATGACCTGGAGGTATTATCGAGTCAGTCTTTTATAAAGTAATGTTATGGGTGCAGATAATTTGCTGGCTTGGTTTAAAAGAGAAAAAACTCCTCACCTTTTTTATTTTTTTAAGTTTGTTCAAGCTCAAATATGAGGAGTTAATTTTTGGAGAATGCTGTTCTCTTTTTAGTGGCTTTTATATTTTACTTGTGCCAGAGTTCAGTTTTGCCAATATTTCCTCTCCAGTTTCAGTTAAATGATCAGAATTATTTGTTGGAAACATAGAGGTATG